AATAACAGGGGCGTCAACAAGGCTTTTGAGTTTGTTTGAATAAGAAAAAACACACACTTCCTTCCCTGTGCGCAGGGCCCAGGACTTACCCCTGGCCCCCGCTGCTCTGGGAAGAGTGTTGATTATTAACTAAACTGAACCTGCACCTCTCCCCAATCAGCCAGGGCGTTTGTTCACTTAAAACCCTGCATTTTTCTCACCGTCATGTCCCAGTGCGGACAGCACCTATGGGCATAACTTGACTAGTAGGAACAGTCCCATGGGGATCACCCCCAGGAGCCAACTTACTCCCCTTTAAATGGCTGCAGGACAGGGGCTCTAACCACCTGCCTTTCATCTCCTGCAGCTGGAATCGATTTCCTTGAGCAGATGCACCCATTAGCCTTGTCTACATAAAAACCCCTTTTGCCCCAGAATTTTCCACCATTACTACTATTGGTTCATCTCCACCAGCTCTAGCACTAGTGTAGACGGGGCCCACTAGCGTGTCACGCCCTGTGTCCTCTAACCCAGCTCAGAGCAGCTCCACGGGTACGTCTACACTGGAGCTGGAGGCGTCATTTCCAGCTGGAGTAGACAGACTGCACTAGCTCGGATTGAGCTAGCGTGCTAAAAATAGCAGTGTAGCTGTAGTGGTGCCTCTAGCGGGAGGGGCCGGGCATCTGGAGTACAATCCCGTCCGAGACAGCACGCACGTATTTGGGTGACTAGTCCCGCCTGCCGCTTGCACTGCCGTGACTACTCTCCGGTTTTAGCAGGTTAGCTTGATCAACGCTAGCACGTGTATGTCTTCCCGAGCCAGAAACGACACCTTCCACCTCCCGTGTAGGCACACCCAACATGACACGGCACCTTCGCATCAGTGGCCATCAGCACTCTGTCTACACGAGTGCTTCTGCCTCTCCCAGTGCTGGTTCAGCCCCACTGGTGGTAGCAACCGTGGAAAATTCGGGGCGAAAAAAGTCTAGCAGAGACAGATTTCTTATTGTACTGTAAGGCCACGAATACAACGCTGTACACGCTCGTTTCTTATTGTAGAGTCACTCGTAAGAGCTGGGATGCAGGGACTGGAGTCCTGCTTTCAAAAATATTCAGAAAAATGAGAAAATGTTGAAGTCAAGCCAAGTTTGGAAATGGAGCCATTAAAATGGCAGGCTAGAGCGTGGGCGCCGATCCAGCCAGTGTCCCTTGCAGCACACCAGGCAGAATCAGCCACGGCATCTCGTTACGGAGATGCCACGGAAATCGTGGCAGCTTGATTTAGTTTGTTGACAGGTGAGAGGTGGCTTGAAAAAGCCACGTTTGCCCCAGTTGGAACACAACGTGCAGTCTGATAAGCGTCAGCCCTGTTCCAGCAGCCCGGTGAGATTCTAGTGCCCTCATCAGAACAGACGTACAGTACATCGATGGGGATGCCAGCTGCAGCGACGTTGGAAGCACGAGGCAGAGGCTCGTCAATGAGAATCCATTAGGGAAGCCCAACCCCCTCTCCTCCCCGCCCCGCCCATGTGGTTACAGGTGAAAGGTGTCCACTAGCAACACCTGCCCAGTTTCACACCGAGAGGAGATTTTTTGGAACGTGGGGGGGGGAAAGGAAAAGCCTGAACTGGATTTCTTTGCCCCCCCGCAACATGGTCTCAAGGTACTTGCCTCTGGGCAGTTCCTATCCTGCTTTCAGTCTGATTCATTATGGTTGTTACTTGCTGCTATAACACGGCTCCTGAATTCTCCCTTCCATGTCAATTTCACCCACTCATTTCAGATGCCACTGGCCTCCCCCGGCCCTGGCACTGATCAGATCTTAGCAAAAGTACAGACAGGTCCAGGAGGAAGCTGAGAGAGGATCTATCTGGCTCCTTTGCAACCAGTTCTGGACAGTGCCTAAATCCTCTTGTAACGAAACCCCACCTGGTCAGGAATGTTTTGCTCGCTCAGCCGTTCCCATCTTGTGCGCGGGAGCAGCCAAAAAGCAGATTAGCTCAGAGCCAGGCAGAATTAATGGTAAACGTACAAAAAAAATTAAAACCACCTACACACCAAGAACAATGGAGGGGACATTATTTAAAAATCCTACCTGCCAAGTTCACATTTTTATAAAGCTGTTTATCAATTACGTACTCACACACCGAGCAGCTATAATTAACAGCCATTGTGTCCTCTTCTAACTCAATAGCTCACTTCATCTTTTCGAATCCTCTACCTCCCTCAGACTCCTGCTGAAACCCATGCGCCAGGCACTGGCCCCAAGAACGTATAATTGGTACGGTGGCTTCATGGACGCACCATGGAAACTAACTTAATGGAAAAGATGGGGGATATCGGATGAGAACAGAGTCACAACAACAGGGACACAGACTTAGCAGTGTCTAGATGATTGTGTAGCACCATTGACCATGGTCAGGTTGTCTGTGACATACCATGCATGTTACTGGCTAATAATAATATCACCTAGCTCTTATATAGTGCTTTTTCATCAGTAGATCTCAAAGCACTTCACAAAGGAGGTCAGTATTCTCCTCCCCCATTTTATAGATGGGGAAACTGAGGCACAGAGGCATGACGTGGCTTGCCCAAGGTGACCCAGCAGGCCAGGAGCAGATCCAGAAATAGAACACAAGTCTCCTGAGTTCTAGTCCAGTGCTTTCTCCACTAGGCCACTCTGCCTCCCCTGTTGGGACACCTTCCCCAACCCCACCCCTATGGTGGGGAGGCTTCCAGACCAGGAATAAAATATCAAGGTTGTCCAAAGTTGCTCAGCTCAATTGGGCAGATCCTTGGTCAGCATCCTGGGGTATCCATCTCTAGGGGGCTTGTTCTGCCCAGGGAAGGGATGGGGACTAGCTATGACATATGGACCCAGGTTTTATTCCAAAATGTCCAAGGCTGTCCAGATCCAGGATCCTGGTTTGAGCCCGTCTCTTAGGTCCATATGTACAAAGGCTCCCCATGCCATTCTCCTTTCACACCCACAATGGGTTTGGTCCCCACGAGCTGCAGGGGAGCGATCGGCGGAAGTATCCCAAATAGCAAAGAAGAGGATTCCGTGGCACGAGTTTCCTCTCACTTATACCAGCGCTAATTGGGAGTAACAGCAATGGAGTTACATCATTGTCATAGGGGGAGAAGGAAGGAGAATCAGGCCCCCCAGAGAGAGGAAGGAAGAGGAGCCGTCTGAAGTCTCTCTCCAAGTGCTGGAACAACCAGAGAGATATTGCTGGAGAATGAACTGATTTGTGGGAAGAGACCCAATGAGGATTTTTAGCTATTTTATACCTTCACTCTCCCATTTACTGCTCCAGTGGCAGGAATGCTGCCCACCTCTCTGGGCACCTCTCTCCTGTGCCACACCAGATGACATGGCAAAAGGAGAGGCCTTCAAAAGACACTGGGGGAATCCTGGTGGGCGAGGAGCTGACCACGCAGCAGTAATTCAAGGAGCACACGGCAGCCCCACCACACAGAAGCTGAACAGTAAACGGTCCGTGTGCTGCATCTCGGAGCTCTGGCTCTGAGTGTGTGGGGATAGCTGCTCCCGGGTACTTACTTGGCCAGCTTTTTAAAACCGATGGCTCTCTTTTTGGTGGGAGTCCCATTGACCCCTTTCCAGATGTGCGTGTTCCAAGGGTCAGGCTAGGAGGAAAAAGATGGTCATCAGCTGAGGGACAGAGCTTTGTTATTCAACAAGGGCCAGGTTTGTGGGGCCCAGCAATGGAATTGCATTCGTTTGTAAAGACAGCCTGTTTAGATACATTCACAACGCCTGGTTGCCAGGGACCAGCTGGCCTCAGACCCTCGTCATAGGTCTTTATTTGTGGGCCTGGTCTATAACCCCATCCTACCCTCCACAACCCAGCTATTTAAGCTTGGAAATGACCCTCTCTAGAGATGCCCATGTCTTTGAGGTATGACTGGATGCACCAGGATTTCAACACGCTGTCGCAAGGCAGCGAGGAGGTTGCTGGCTTGTAACAACATGGCTGAGGACCATGCCCTTTGTGTCTCCCGGAAGTGGGGCTGTCCCAGGGACAGGGCCGGCTCCAGGGTTTTGGCTGCCCCAAGCAGCGCCCCCCCCCAAAAAAGCCGCGATCGCGATCTGTGGCGGCAATTCGGCAGAAGGTCCTTCGCTCCAAGTGGGAGTGAGGGACCGTCCGCCGAATTGCCACCGAATAGCTGGACCTGCCGCCCCTCTCCGGAGTGGCCGCCCCAAGCACCTGCTTGCCAAGCTGGTGCCTGGAGCCGGTCCTGCCCAGGGAGCATTGACAGCTAAATGAGCAGGGAGATACAGGACTGCATCCCTCCACTTTTCCATAGGACCTCAAGAAGGGGTGGAGGCTAGGAAAGAGGATCAGCGGCTGCACAATCCCTGAGGATACAGTCAGAGCTGGGAATGCTCTGGGTTCATGGGAGATGGATAACACAGATGAACAAGTGATTCCCTTTCCTGGTTATTCCTTATGGGATCTAGACTAATGGCCAGACTGAACGAAAGCGGCAGGAGCATAGACATTCGGCGAATGAAGGTATGTTTGTCAGGGTCCCTTGTCCCATTCTTTGAAGGGCTACGTGCTCTGTTGCTAACATTATGGCCTAGTGCTCACGCGCTGCACGGCCAGGCAGGAGACCAGAGTCAGATTTTCCATCCCCAAGCTGGCAGGAGCAGCTCGCTCAAGTTTGCTAGATGGCGGAGGAAGGGAAGGGGTGACTGGCATGGCCCAACAGCAGCCCCCCACGGCTGATTGAGGAACAGGGCTGATGAGCTCCAGAAAGTGCTCTGCTAGGTTCCCCTGGGATGAAGGATGCAAGATAGGACCGTGATGATTCTCCAGGCTCTGGCAGAGCTGCGAAGAGCCACCTCCTTGCGGGAAGGCAACTCGTGCCGGGGGTCGGCAAACCTGACTCTGATTATACCTTGATGCCTTGTAACAATCAGGGTTGTTAACAAGCACCACCGCTCTGCAGAGAGACAACGGTTGGGATATAGAGCCAGTCCACAGCTGGGGAGGAGACGTAGATCCTGCTGCCCCTGCCTATCATGGTACCCTTGTGTGTGAGGGGCAGGGTGTGCGGCACCGGCAGAAGCCTGGCTACGGATAGTACCTGGTACTCGAAGGAGGGCGTGAGCCGATAGTTGAGCATTTCCTGATGGAAGACCGGGGTGATGCTGCTGGACATCGGGGGGACGATCCACACCCAGTCGGCAGGGCACCCCCCGCGGCAGCGATACTCATTCTCCATGTGCTTGATGAAGGACTCTGTGGCTGAGTGATGGTCCACAATGGTCACCTTGTCGCTCTGTTGGAGGGAAGGAGAAGACAGCCAGTAGAACTGCAGGCTAGTGCTCCTTGGGCAGTGAGGACAGGAGTCGGGAGGCAGCATTAGGATGCCGGGCTGGGAGCCGAGTCTGCCGTGAGGGCTAAAAAGGAGCATCCCCACCAAGAACTGCAGTGGACGTTAGGACAACAAACAGCTTCTGTCTAGGAGAAGTCAAAGGCTGAAAGCTCAGTTCCTCCTTCCAATGGAAGGCGTCCGTCAGTGGCAATGGGACATGAGGAACAATCCAGAAGGGCCCCGTGGCGGGGTCTGATTGAGAAGACAGCCCTCACTTTGGAACTTCCCTTCATTTGATTATGCTGATCTGGTTGACAGGTAGGAGGGACCCTGAACCCCCTAAACTCTGCTGTGGGCTGGTCAAAGGGGATTGTTACCCTTGGTGTCCAGCTCTGGGGACCAGCCGCTGCTCCCTTCCTCTAGGGCTGTCCTCCCAGCTCACCCGTATAAAACTCCAAGGAAAACAGCTGCTGGAAGATGATGCTGCCTAAGACTGAGATATTGCCCATGTGTATCCCCTGCCCTCCCAGAGCAGACACACTAGGGCAGAGAGATAGTCTCCTGGTTCGCCCGGTGCCAAGCAGCATTCTGCCCCAATCACGAGTTTTGGCTTGGACGAGCCAAAATCACAAATCATTTTAAATGCAAACGTGGATACTCAGGGCCAGATCCTTGGCCCTTTTTGTGCCACTCACGCCCTGTAAAGGAGCTGGAAATCCCCCCAGGGAAAGGCTTGCACAGGGCTGATGTAGACAGCCCTACACCACCTGTCTGTGCTGGGCCCAGTGGCCTGAGTGTGCTAAATTCCACTGGGGGCCACCGTGGCACCTGGAACAACCCCAAATTAGGGAGGCCCCAAAGGTGGCATAGCCCCTCCTGAGCAGCACAGCCCAGACTTGAGTCACCCTCACCTCCGTGTCAGGATAGTGCCGCACAAAAGCAAGTTTGTTAAACCACTAGCTGCTGTGGCCCTGGGGCAGATCTCCCTACGGCCCCTTCCCAAGCCAGTTCCTGACGTAGCATCAGGGGCCGGACTTATCCCAAACCCCAAAGCCTTGGGGATGTCTGGGCTGAAGCTCCAGCAGGAGCAAGTCCTGCCCCTCGGGTACCTGGAAGCTGTACAGAACAGCGATGTTAATCTCCACCAGCGCCTGGTCTTTCCACAGCGAGGAGGTTTTCCTCATGTCCAGGTTCATCTTTTTGGCTACTTCCTGCAAAGACACGCAGTAATCGGTGAGCGGGGACTCAGTACCGGCCGCAAAGCGAAGTCCTAAGGCCTCTGCCCCAGAGAGCGAGCTAAGGGAGGGCAAGCCCTATCTCCGCATCTGATGGAGAACTTCCGTGAAGGGAGGCATGGCTGCTGAGTATGGGTTAGAGTAAATGACCTGCCTGTCTCACTGAACTTCGTCCTGGTGGCCTGGTTTCCTCCTGAACAGTCAGGGCTTGGCTGTGCCCAGCCTTGCACAGGGACTGTGGGCGATCCCAGCGGGGAGGGTAGGTGTGATGCTGGCAGGCCAGATGCCAGCTTATGCCCAGGTCATAGAATCATAGAATCATAGAATATCAGGGTTGGAAGGGACCTCAGGAGGTCATCTAGTCCAACCCCCTGCTCAAAGCAGGACCAATTGCCAACTAAATCATCCCAGCCAGGGCTTTGTCAAGCCGGGTCTTAAAAACCTCCAAGGAAGGAGATTCCACCATCTCCCTAGGTAACTCATTCCAGTGCTTCACCACCATCCTAGTGAAATAGTGTTTCCTAATATCCAACCTAGACCTCCCCCACTGCAACTTGAGACCATTGCTCCTTGTTCTGTCATCTGCCACCACTGAGAACAGCTGAGCTCCATCCTCTTTGGAACCCCCTTTCAGGTAGTTGAAAGCAGCTATCAAATCCTCCCTCGTTCTTCTCTTCTGCAGACTAAACAATCCCAGTTCCCTCAGCCTCTCCTCATAAGTCATATGCTCCAGCACCCTAATCATTTTTGTTGCCCTTCGCCGGACTCTTTCCAATTTTTCCACATCCTTCTTGTAGTGTGGGGCTCAAAACTGGACACAGTACTCCAGATGAGGCCTCACCAATGCCCTTACTTATACAGCCCAAAATGCTGTTAGTCTTCTTGGCAACAAGGGCACACTGTCGATTCATATCCAGCTTCTTGTCCACTGAAACTCCTAGGTCCTTTTCTGCAGAACTGCTGCCTAGCGGGTCCCCATGCCTCACTTGAATACTGACAAATCCGGCTGGTTCACCTGTGTGGTAGTAGTGTTAAAACAGGCATTCGTTATAAAACAGTGCCTAGTGTTTAGACCTTATGGAATGTGTGCGAGTTGCTGCCGGCATTAATCTCACTTGTGACATCTGTACCCCAGAGTATGAGGCAACATTTGAGCCTTTTGTATTGCAAGCTTCTGTGACTGTGAAAATCGCCAGACAGGAGAGAGGCATTAACGAGAGTAAAGCGCGGAGCTCCAACAGACAGCGTTGGGTCCTGCCTCACAAGCAAGGTCCATCGACACCGGATGAACTATCGTGGAACGCTGAAGAGGACAAAAGGCTTCGTTGATTGTCCTTACCCCACCATGAAGAGGAGTGATGCAAGTGAATTCCTGCCATCAGCTGAGTTTGCTGCTCAAAGAGCAAAGGGGGAAAGGAAAAAAGGCCCTAACAAGAAGGAACTGTATCTTTATGCTGCTGGGACTCTGAGGGGCAAGGATAACGAAGCATAACTGAAAGCTCAACAGTGCTTAGCAAATTCGGGGCTTGTGTCCTGCTTCCCCACGCCCTGCGCCACTGAAGGCCAGCTTGACAGCAGGCACGGCTCCCTACCAGTGCCCACCCGGGGGCAGGGCACCTGAAAGAGGATGGGGAGAGGAGTGAGCCATGTGGGGCACCCCCAGGCCTCCAAGGGAAGCAGCAGAGGTGGCTGGGTGTGGGGGAAGGAGCACAGTACACCTCTGTGGGGAGCAGCATCAGAGTTCCCCCTGGGGACTCCTCCAGCACGGGGTGGGGAAGCCACAATCTGGGTGTGTTTAGTACCAAAGTTTCTTCCTCTTTTCCCACCCCAAGTAACTGTCATGTAGGTGACATACCAGGGACTTGCTGGGCCAGGGCTCCCCTGGGAACATCGTCCTGATATAGCAGCGTGGCTGGAATTCACTTTGATCTTCAGAGCTTATTTAAGGCAGCCCTTTGGTTTCATTTATCGTCCCCCACAAAGCAGGGACACACTCAGCTTGGCGCTCTGCTCCCCGGTAGCTCCGTACACCCCAAAGCACCCCCGCCAGCCCCACCACTGCCCCAAGGCGCGGCAGGCAGTAGCCGAGGGCAGGGTTACCTCCAGCATGTTGTAGCGAGAGTTATCACAGTAATCGCGGACGCCGATCTCAGTGCCCATGTACCAGCCACTGAAGGGGCAGGCAGTGAACTCCAGGCCTCCGATCTCTAGCAGCATGCTGGACACCGCTGGCAAACCGTACCACTTCAGCCCCAGGTCCTTAAACCAGGCAAACCTGCCGAGACACGAGGGGGGGGTCAGCCGGGTTGCTGGATCCTCAGAGGGAGGGGAACAAAGGGGGGGATTTGCCCCTAACAGTCATTCCACAGAAGCCCGAAGGCAGCTTTGTCTTACTACAACGAACCAGTTCTCACCAACCATCGGAACCACTCCTGGGAACGAGGGAGCAGAGGAGGGCCCTGGGGGGATGGCAGCACCGTTTCCTTTGCGCACAGGGAGGGGCGCACACAACAGGGGAGTTGTGTGGAGGGGCGGGGAGAACAGGTGGATGGCAGGAGGCTCAGGGTAGAGGAACCGGAGAAACTGAAGTGATGTGAGAGCAGCCCTGCCATCTCTCCATGAGAAAGGGACCAGGGTCACTGTTTTTCAAGTTTTCCATGCAGAGTGGAAGAAAGCTCTAGGGGTTCCACCAACAGGCAGAAATGGGCACGGCTCGAGGTTGGTGGGACTCTAGGTCTGAATGGGGGTCCCCCGGGCAAGGCCACATAGTGCACTGTGAGCAGGCGTAGGTGGTTCGAGCAGAGCAGAACTCTACAGAACCTGCCCCACAGCAGCACCCGGACGTGCTGTAGCTTACTTGGGATGCCTGATGGGTACTTCCAGCACCAGCTCCGGGGGGATCTCAAAGAGCTCCGGATCATTGCCGTTGGCCTGGAGGAGGAGTGGCAGGACATCAAATCGCCCCTTGGGTGCCTTCCACCCTTGCTGGATGCAGATCTGCAGCCAAACAGAGTTCACGATCATATTCTTGCCAACCTGGCTGCCCAGCAATGTGACTGTCTCTCAGGCGCTGTGGGCAGGATGTGCGGGTTGCAAAGCGGTAGGCTGCTAAGTACAACCGTAGTCTCTTGTACTTTTTTTTTTTAATAAGGGATGTCTCCACTCAGTCTGAGCCATGTGTAAGCTAAGAGTTCAGGCTGAGTCCTGGAGAGTGTTCTGCAATCAAGCAGTAGGTGATAAACACATTCTCATTATGGTGCACAGAGACTGGCTATTGGACCAAATCCACGGCCACTTAGGACTTCACACTTGTCACTGTGCAGTGTGCCATGAGCCACCTGGGCCCTGCAGGTGACAGCGAGTTTAGAACCTGGACCTCCTGCTCCAAACCACTGTCTGAGCTATAGTGTTAGTCTGTAGCAGTACAGAGACTATGAAACACAAGTAAGAAGTTCTGAGTCCACCCTGAAGAGGGCAGTGGTGCATGAACACACAAGCACAAATACAAGTCCACATGGCAATATTAAGGGTCCCTCTAGTGGTACTACAGAGCATCTCATGACCTGTCTTGGGAAAAGCAAAGCAAATCAGAGTAGGTCTCCTAGATCAGGGGGTCTCAAACTGGGGATCGGGACCCCTCACGGGGTTGTGAGGCTATTACCTGGAGGGTCGCGAGCTGTCAGCCTCCACCCCAACCCCCACTTTGCCTCCAGCATTTATAATGGTGTTAAATACATTAAGAAGTGTTTTTAATTGATATGGGGGGGGGTCGCACTCAGAGGCTTGCTATGTGAAAGGGGTCACCAGTACAAAAGTTTGAGAACCTCTGTCCTAGATGGACTGAAACACTGTAGTATAATTCTTGCATCCGAAGAAGTGAGGTTTTTACTCACGAAAGCTTATGCCCAAATAAATCTGTTAGTCTTTAAGGTGCCACCAGACTCCTTGTTGTTTTCGTAGATACAGACTAACACGGCTACCCCCTGATACTTGTAGTATAATATGCAGCTGTCCCCATCCTAACTGAGTATCTTAGGAGGCGCTCAGAGGTGCACTCCCCTATGGGCCCAGCCACTGACCTACAATGACTGGGAAGAATGGATTTTTTTCATTGCTTACCTCTGTGAGCTCCATGTTGGCTGGGTCCCCCAGAATGGTACCGTCTGGCTGCTTGTAGCCAGCATAGCGGATGAGCTGGGCATTCCAGACTCGGAAGTCGTGCTTGCCATCTGTCCTCTGGGGGAAGATGGTGATAGCAGACCTGAAAGGAACGGACGGGATGGCGCTGGCGTTAGTAATGTGAAAGGTGACAGCCGGGAGGGCATGTGCTTGTCCCTGAGATTGAGCGGGGTTGCCTGGGATGATGGACAGCCCTTGCCAGCATTCACAGCACCTCAGCCGCTACGCTTTCTGCCACGTGCTTTGTGCTTGTGAACATGCCTGGGACCAGATTAACCTCCGTGCCTGCCCGGAAAAGAGAAGAGCCTCTTTTCCAACTGATTTTCCAGCTACTACCATTGTGCCTTATGAATGTGGGTGTGCCCCCTGAGATGAACAGTCCAGTCTGCAGACCAGGTACCAAGGTGGGGCAAATAGGTAGCAGGGGCAGAGGGCAAGTTCTGTTTCCCTGGCAAATTCATCTCCCTCTCAGTGCTTTCCCTTCACTCCAGGGACCTCTGAACCTCTAGATCAAACAGGCCCCCAGTAAATAAGGCGGAGGGGGAGATCCATCCAGTGGGAAAGACAGAGGAGCAAGAGAAAGGAGGAGAAATACATTGTATGTTTCTGTACAGCCCAGCCACTAGAGATGGAGTGGCCCAGCAGGTAGAGCACAGGACCAGGAGACCTGGGTTCTGTTCCCTTCTCCACCACTGATTTACTCCATAACCTTGGGCAGAGTTATGGAGTCTCTCTGTCCCTGGGTTCTCGCAGCTGGGAAGTGGGGCTACTGATACTTTCCCACCTTTAAAAAGCAACAGAGAGTCCTGTGGCACCT